AAGTAATACCAACTCAAGTAACAGAGAACACGTGACATTTATAAATACCTAAACGAACACCTAAATTAATTGGTGGGGCCTTCAAAGGCGGCTTATTGAAATCGAACATTTCAATCAAAAATAAACTTCAGCGAATCACTAGTACGGTACCTACGTAGACGTGCCGCCGTACGTACATATTGAGCAAAATGTGTAAACAACACAACAAAGGAATCTTTGCCACAATTTTTGTACGAAAAATGTGTAAAATAAACATTTTGGATCTACAGCCTCGTTGGTCGAGTGGTCGCAAGTGGAACTGTCGATGTTTCTCAAACGTCTAAAACAAAAAAAAAACACGTTGAACCAAATCGTTACACGTGATCTAATCACAGATCTGATATAACATTTTTTCAAGGACCTTACGAAATCGGGCGTGAATCTCTGACATTTTTATGCTTCGCATGTGTTCAACAATTTAATAAATATTTACTTTCCTTGTTTTGTTCCAACGAGAAGCCATTCTGACAAGGGTGCTTCTTTGAGTCAAAGAAAGTGTTATTGTGTTTTAATCCCGTAATATCACTAGTACTATAGTCAGGTCACAGAATTAAATCTAAATAATATGTACCTACTTCTTATTTTAGACAGTCAAAGAAAGGATGGTTGGCCGGTTTACCCTGATAATTTCTTTTTACCTGATAGGAAAAGCCGCCTTGAGGCCAACCCACTTTGAACAAGCGTGGTTATTAATGCTCAAACCAAATCATCGTGAGGAGAGGCTTTGAGAGTTTGCTCAGCAGTGGTACTTGTAGTTATTAGCTGTTGATGTTAGAGAAAAAGTCTATCAAAAAATTTAACAGAAGGTATTTACGTACCTTCGTTCAACACTGGCGCTTGTTTTTTTTCAATGTTATTAAATCTTTTTGTATGATATCTAGAAATATGGAAATCCGCTTCCAATTACGACGGAACGAATGAAATGGCTGGTAGAAAAGCGGATACTTAAAGCTCCGCTAAACCGTACTTGTTGTATGGGTTACTTTGCGACATTATGACAAGAATATACAAAATTTCAACATAAAGAAATCAAAGTAACATTAAAATTAATTTGTCAAATTGCCTCACAATAAAATGTAGATACGTATTGATGTTCGCATCCGTAATTGAATTATTTGTTCGACGGCAAGACTTTTTTCAGTAGGCACTTATTGAGGCTTTGAATTAATGTTATTGGCACAAGGTCTTTTGAAGGTCTTCGGGATTCCACTTGTTTTGTTGTAGAAAACAGGTCTAGGTTATCTTATATTCTTATACCTATCTGGAATATCCCTTTCGAGCGAATGACATACATGTCAACTAGTACCTACATCTTACTATACGTTTTAGTAAACATCAACAAGTCAAGGAAAGGAAAAAGGAAATAAGGATCTAATATATAAATCGAAACATTAATGGCAATTATGTAGTAGTACCTACACTAGAAGAAAATTATGAAAATGATGAAGGTTCGTCAAAAAAGTTTACCTATTAAAGGTATCTGTTTAGGAATAACAGATACTTTTAATAGGTAGAACTTAGAAGTTCTTAGAGTATTTAAAAAAATAATCTATGCCTGGGTTTTAGAACAATGTTGGAATTCATGCTAATAAATGATTATTTATGTATCTGGCACAAAACCCGGAGAATACAGATAATTAAATAGTTAAATTAAATTAATCAAACATACAAACATAGCGCCATAAAACCATTGGTTTTAAGATAATATTATTGTGACATGCTTGCTTAGCTTATTGCCTGATACTGAATAAGAAAGAAAGAAAGAAGAACAAGGGTTGCTAATGGAAATGCAGACCTTTAAAGTGAATTTCTAGAACAAGTCAAGTAATGTTATAGGGACTACCTACCTACTACAGGTATAACTATTTGACAACTTACCTTTATGTTTGACCAGTACCTCTCCTGGTGGTAAGCGATGATGCGGTCTACAATGGATCACGTCGTCCTATAAAACTACTAATTCATACGGGCCTTGAAGACACCCAGATTATTTAGGAAATACAGACTCTGGCAAAGAATTCCACTCCTTAGTACAAAGTAGAAACTTACCTACCTATTTACATTTTACATTCCTTTGTTTATCAACCGAATTACTTTACTATTTACCTAAACTGTTAATTATATATACCTAACTTCGAATATATTTAAATTTCACTCAAGAAGCCACAAACTTAAAGTTTGTTTTTGTTTCAATGCCAATAGGTGTGAAATGTTTTCGTTCGTATCGCAGCGCCTGATAGATATTGCTTTCATATACTTGAAAAGCAATTTAAAATCTATTGGATTGTACGCAGGCGTTGTGAAAACTATCATAGCTGTTGTATGGTGACTTGGTGATCGTTTATAATTAAAACATGAGTATCTTAGAAAAAAATACCATTAAGTAAATCATAACAAAGGAATAAAATTACAACGATTAGTAGTACTTTTTTATTGTTTTATTACTTTTAAATCATTTCGAAACTGTAATTATCTGATTATATGTATCATGTGTATCTGATTGAGTAAAACCTCTTCCATTGTGTAGTAAGATTAATTTGGCTGACTGGAGAACGAGAGAGTGGAGTATAGATTTTTTTCTCTGTATCACTGTTTATTATGTTGGAATGGTTGTATATCTATTGAAAATTAGTTTGTTGTTACACATGAGCGTGTTAGTATACATATTATGCCAGGCGAGAACTTGAATATAAACAATAAATTTTAATAAGTTAATTGCATAATTTAAAGTACCATGTTGTCTTTTTGTAGTAGTGTTAATTTTTTCCGTTTCTCTAAAGTAGATTTTTACTAAATATTACAGTTAAATGAAGGAAAACCAAAACAAATCTCAATCTCAAGGCAATTTATCGTAAGATTTTACTATTGGTCTACCTATTCTATAACATTCCGAAGGCTAAATATTTCAAATAATAAATAAACAACAACACAAGTACTACACAATAACCTTGAAATACGTCTACAAAGGCCTTACAATTTTCTCATAGATATTTTCTACCTTAAAACTTTAATTAATTTATTTTGCATAGCCTTTTGTTTTGTTTGTCTATTATGGTGTAAGTGTAAAAACTTTTTGGTCATGTTTTGCGGAACCTTCTGTTATTTAGGTCTGTATTCCCCGTGGTTGTTTTCATCTGCCCACGCGGTGTGGGTAGTATCTTTGTTTACAATTTTCAAGTACTTGTACCACCTCAATGGACGAGTGGTACCTATTGTTAGTTTTCTTTTTCCGATTCTCAGTAGTAACGCATTGTTTGGGATGGCTCGTGCACCTTTCTAGGAGTAGTAACATATAGACTATGAAATAATTCTATTTCGGCTAATTTTAAAAATACGACATAGTTTTCCCCCAATTACTTGTAGGTCGATGGGCCACAAACGGGGCCTAATAGGGCTGATGTCAGATACGAGGCCGCGGAAGGCTTAACGGGTTGCTGGGGCTCCGACTCAAAGAGCAGGAGTAAGAACGGGGTGGTTTTTAGTCAGTAAGAGGCTGAAACTCCCCCTCGCCTAACCCAAGGCAGGAGAAGTCATTGGATGATTTTCTATTTTATTGTCCTAATTTTTTTTTATTATTATCCTAAACAATCCCCTCAGAGTTATACCACCCTCCTAGTTTAAAATCATTTCTATATCTTGTATTCTGTTTCTAACTAACTGTTTGTGATAGATATTCGTATGCCAACCGCGACCAATGAGTAATCAAGGGTTGAACATTTAACAGTACTAAAGTTATTTTATGGACGCAATTGAAAAAATATAGCCAGTCAGTATTGAGTCTACTTTTGACGAACATAGTCTAACTACGTCACTGAAAAGTGACCTCGTGAACTGAATACATCTGAGAAGTATTTGTAAGAAGCCTAATTTTAAGCGGCTTTTATGGTACGACAAATATAACTCCTTTATACTTTTCCGGCACGCATTTAAGGTACATTACTTGACACCCACCGCTTCATAACACGTGCTACTACGTGGTGCCGTACCCCGTAGTACGCAAAACCTGCTCCAATTTTAGTAACTTTTAAAAGGAAAACATATTATGTCCATAAGTATATTTCTTTAACAAAATCCTTGAAAAGTAAAAAGTAAACATCGTCTTGGTACTTGATTGTATCGTAGGATTAGTGAACGTTATAGAAACTGCTGAGTAAGGAGCCTCTGGTTCGATTACCGAGTGGGGCATAGTTTTTGAGAGTTTAGTAAGTCCAGTTTGGCTTGCCGGTCTATGACCAAATATTATATTATAACGTATTAGTAAGTATTTATAATAGTAACATACATAATTAAAGATAATCGAAACTAAATTGACATACACGTTCCTTCGAACTGACACGAATTGGTACAATCACTGTACAGAATAATTACGTTCATTGAAACGTGAGAAAATATTTCGATAGATTTTCCTCTTAAAAGGATAACCACTTGCATTTCTATAGATTCGTAGCATTTAGTATACAATCGTACACCAATACGAACACCCGTATGAACTGTGTCTAATCTGCAATGGATTAGCTTAGGGATTTAAGAAAGCTGATCGGTTATTTCCACTTTTGTTCATCAGTTTGCCATATATGTCAATTAAGCAACCTTAACTAGGTTAGTAGCAGCGATAACTAGGCAAATACGATATTACAAGTGTTGTGGTGTCCGTCGGTACTTTCCCAATGGCCCATCGTTATTATTCCCTCGACGTTTTCAATACGATTTTTGTAGCCATCGAGGTCCGTGTCCTTACCCATTGTACCATTAGGTATTCCGCGACATCCACTACGTTGCCACACCACGATGCAAAATTTGTTACACCTATATAAAAGAGGGGGTCCAATATTCTAACGCCCGCATTATAATATCAAAAGCGGCCAGCAAAGGGGGCCTTCAAAATGCTCCGAACGGTAAAGTCATATTAAATTGATAAAAATATGAAAAATAATGACATTTCGATTGATCTTTTGTACAAGATGTTGTTTTTGTTACAGGTGTTACTCATATCGTCGTTATGTGGATTGGTGAGAAGTTCAGGGGTGCATGGCGATGGGCTAGCGCATTTAGCACCTGTGGCGGCTATAGGACCTGCTCCAGTAGCTGGCGCTCCAGTAGTCACAGCTGCTAGTTCACAATACTTCCAAAGAACCTTCAACCGATTAGTTGTACCTCAAGTGGTAGCTCCCGTTGCTCCGGTAGCTCATGTTGCCCCCGTAGCTCCCGTGGCACCTCCACCTTTACATCCAGTGTTCCCAGTTGCACCTGCACCAACAGTATTTGTGCAACCTACACAAGAAGTGCCTGTCCCTGTTAACCCACAACCAACTCAACCAGCGCCAGTTAACCCCAATGTAGCAATAGCGGTTGCAACCGCCCACGCTGCTGCACCTGTCGCAACTATATTGCTACCACCCTATCCGTTTGGATTTCCACCGAACTTCGGCTTCATCCCTCAAGAACAGCCAACCAATGCACCCGATGACAATAACAAGGAACCGACGACTCCTCAGTCCACAACACAAACTGAGGCAACAACAACTCCAGAGCCCGAACAAACTACGCCGTTGCCATCGAGCAGCGATGATAACTTTGTGCAACAAGCGCTGCCCTCTAATGAAGACGTGAATTTCAATCAATATGGACCACCTTTACCTCCAGAGAGCACCCAATTCCCGCCTAATCAACAATTCCAACCAAATCAACCTCGTCCTCAGTTCCAACCTCAACCGCGGCCACAGTTCCAGCCACAACAACCGCAGGGCCAATTTCCTCAACAGCAACCAAGGCCACAATTTCAGCCTCAGCAACCTCAAGGACAGTACCCACAGCAACGACCTCAGGGACACTTCCCGCAACAGCAACCTCAAGGACAGTATCCGCAGCAGCAACCTCAGGGACAGTTCCCGGTACAGCAACCTCAGGAACAGTACCCGCAGCAGAGACCTCAAGGACAGTACCCACAACAACAACCACGTCCTCAGTTCCAACCACAACAACCACAGTTCCCACCGCAGTTTCCACAACAAAGGCCACAAGGACAGTTTCCACAACAGAGACCACAGGGACAATTCCCTCCACAGCAACCACACCCGCAATATCAACCATTGCCACAACCACAGCAACCTCACCCACAATACCAACCCCAGGCGCCACCACAACATCCTCGTCCAGTGTATCAAGCACCTCAACAACCCTGGCCTCAGCATAAAGCCAGGCCGCAAAAGCTGAAAACCTCAGTAGAAGTCGTTAAAGTTCCGTTGGCTTACGTCAGTCCTCCACCGCTGCACAAAACCCATGCCCACGTGAAAGTTGTGAAACACATCTATACGTATGTACCGGCAACAAGCGCCAAAATCATTGTGAGACCTGTGAGTACAGTGAAGCGACCTGTACGTGTGGTAAAGATAAAGAAAATTCATTCCCAGAATTTGCGTGCTAATGCTAGAGACATAGAAGTCGCTACACCAAGCCCGTTCCCTCGGCCCAACACCAAGCCACCTAGAGTATAATAATAAATTAGTCAATTTTTACACTTGTTAATAAAACTGCACTTTGTAAATAATTATGGTTATGAGTGAAAGAATATAGATCTATATTTATACTTTTGTATATGTTTGTTTTAATTACTGACGCACATTTTCTACGTCGTTGCATCGTTAATAGTCTCGGTCTAGGCCAACTAGACATTTATTAGTTGCACAACTGATGCTTGGGAGACGTGCACGCTTTGTCAATGACACTGGACCTATAAAGTAGTGTAACGAAAGTGACATTTGCATGACAAGCAAGGGGTTTTCCATGAATTTATTATTATGTTATGCGACATAGTGATGCACTTGAAATATTAAGTTGTTAGTTAGGAAACTTAATAGTACCGCGCGAGGCTAATGTAACATTTATGCTACCTAAATTAAATTATTTTGACACTTTCAAAAACAAATATCCTTAAAAAACTCAACGTCAAAGTATTTTGAAATGTAAGATATAATGTATATTGATGAATTTATTCTATGTAAGAACCAAACACTTGAATCATGACTCAGTAATCGGCGATAAATCTAGAAGATTGTCTACTTGTAGGTACCCAGAAATAGTGGTGATAATCGAATAAGAACTATCATTCTTTACGATGTAAGTCTAAAATATCTCAGCGTACGTGCTACATAATGTGAAGTACATTAAGAAGCAAATGACGACGTGCTTCAGATACTTGACGATAAAATGCTATGTGAGCGTAAAGTGTATTCACTACCACGCAACATGAGATGGGTAATACGTCAAATGTGCCAATTGTACATATTTTGCATAAGGTTACATTTCCTATATGGGTTTGAAATATCACGTTTTTTAGAAACGCTCATCCAAATGTTTTTTATGCGAACTAGCTGCATGGCCGTTAATTAGATTGCTCTAGAAATGAAGCTAAGTGACTATTACATTTAGTCACGAATAATCTGAATGTTACTAGATATTTACTACCTTATTCAGTCTTATTTATTAGTAGAAGAACATAGCTGCTATCCGCAACTTAAGTCGGCCGGCCCATGTCATGTCATATGCATTACCCTGTGACAGACTACAGAGTTGAGTATATTCAGACTTCGTGCAAATAAACATTCTAATTCGAATTATGTCATTGATCGAAAATGATTGCAATTGTGAAAAGTAAATTAGTTTACACTTATAAGTATCTAACAGCAAAAAGCAGGCATGCCTGTTGCCGATAGAAAAATAAAATACAATATCACAGCTGTATCAAATACGTTGTGCTTATTTACTTAACGTAGTCGAAGGTAAGTATCGCTTAGTATTCAATAGAGGTAACAAAATCGTGCGTTACCAATACTCGAACCTAATTTCCTAAATACGAATACATCAAATCGGGATTTGATGATCAAATTTGGTACATAAGTCGTGTCTGATATAACACTGCCTTACATAATATTAATATTTCATTTTACGATACGATCGGAATAAAACTTATCCTACAATTCCAGGCCATGGTTTTCTTTACTACAAATTACATTTGAATCCTTAGGTCGGTGACTCTCCCTCCCGCCTCACCCAGGCGGGAGCAGTCATTGTTGTCATAAGCCAACACTTATCAAGTATGTAGATTTGTTTTAAGTGAGGGAAATCATCGAATGGCTGCTCCCATCTACGTGAGGCGGGAGGGAGTGCCAGACTCTTACTGACTAAAAACCACCCCGTTCCTACTCCTGCACGTCGAGCCAGAGCCCCGGTAACCCGTTATGTTCTCCACGGAGTACGTAGGTTTAATACATCTATTTAAAGTAATACTAAAATATAACCTTATATTAATAAAACAAACAATAATATATCGGACATACGACTAGATGAACATTCAATGTAATAAAACTACTAATTGCCAGTTATCTCGAGCGATGACATTCCCGTTTGAGCCTTGTGACGGAAATAGGAACATGGAAAATGTTCACAGGATATAACAGAACTTAAGAAATAACTATCTTGGAAGAGAATGGGAGTTACAAGGGTTTATATTACGTGACCTTTTGAATTTATTCAAGAAAATACATATATTGTTGCGAGAAGTATTACAGTCTAATGACGTTTAGTTTTCCATTTAAGTTTACAGTTGGTAGAAAACTGTCGGAAATGGCATTATATTATATTTAAAAGCTTCTCATGTTCTATTTTTGTAATTTGACTCCTATTAGCTAATTTAATGAAATTATTTTTACAATGAAAGGAATAGGTATTTGTGCATAAAAACTCAGGTCGTAGGCCCAGAAGGATAAGTGGAAATATAATATAGGTCAATTTCTACGACCCTCACATACTTCTTTAACTTCCATCCCTTTCATGCTTTTGCTCATTTAAATGCATCGTTTCAAGGTCCGTAACTATCTATTTGTTATGGGTTTTGCTTTGTAGCAAAGCGACATTTACGTAAAAACCTAAATAAATTCTAAATCGAAAAGATCAAAACAGAAATGGATTCAAATCATCCTACACAACTACATAATATCATGATTTATGATATCAAACACTACTTCTATAATTTCAATCAGTATTGGTCTAAAAGGAATAGAGAACAAAATATCAACAATTCTAATTAATCATTTGACGTCTAAAAATACAATACCCAAAATATCATTGTTACATCAATACAAACCACAAATAACATACAAAAGAAACCTTATTTGTGGTCGCAAAAATAACAACACAGACATCTGATAAAATGGAGATGTAATATCAATAATCATAACATTGTTGTTGACGTGAACTACAAGCAAACGTGTGTCATAGCGAAGACGATATAATTTGTTTGTACGGACGTGACGTGAGATCGTCCATAGTGCGTCACGGAGATAACGGTTCGTCTGCTTCGTAGCAAGATTCGTAGCACAGAGATGAGCGTAGCATCTGTTATAAATATTTTCGTAGCACAAATATGATATGCTACGAGTTTTTCACACACGATTCCGCATATAAATGTTTAATTGTCTTAGATAGAGAATATCTAAAACAAAGTTTGAAAATTTGTTTTAGATATTATCCAGTCTATGAATGAAACCAGCCTTCGTCTTGTCGCCTTTGACCACTAAAATAATGAAATATTTTTATAATTTTTAGATACTTCATATGAAATAGATGCTAAAAATACATGCGTTAGAAGATACAAAGCTATAAAATTCTTGAATGTAATTAGACGTAGAAGGTGACATAAAATTATTACGTAACAATGTTGTTTGAACCTCCCACATCTCGTTATTTATGAAAACAATATCTGAGAAAAACAGTTTTCTGCGAACCATTAATAATAACTTTATTGATGTGTAATATATTTATTTTTAAGGTAATGCCCAAAACTGTAGTACTAGTGCAATAATGTTATCAGTCTGTCCAGCTTTACTGTCGTAATGTCTCGTCCCCGTTGCGTGCCCAGCGTCTAACGAGCCATTGAGACATTGCAATCGATGACGAAACACAACACAAGGTGAATCTTGCTTCGGTATAGTATAAAAGGTAATGTCACCAAACTTCAGACATCACACTCACATCTTCTGTTCAACAGACAGACACAACCAAACCTAGCAAAATGTACAAGATTGTGAGTATTTTGAAAATAACCATTTAAATAGTTAATTAATTATCAAAATAAAATTTCTTACAAATAATAATTGTGAATTCCAGGTATTCTTCCTCGCCACCCTGGCCCTGGCTGCCGCCAAGCCCAGCGCAGTAGCGGCTCCCCTTGTAGCTGCAGCGCCCGTTGTGGCTGCCCCAGCTCCCTTCGTCACAGCCTCCAGCTCTCAGTACGTCGCCAGGAACTACAACGGAGTGTACGCCGCCGCTGCTCCTTTAGTCGCTGCCCCTGCCCCAGTCGTCGCTGCTCCTGCCCCATTAGTGGCAGCTCCTGCTCCTTATGTAGCCTCTCCTTATGCCGTTGCCCCAGCAGCGGCTCGTGTCGTGGCTCCCTATGCTGCTCCCTATGCTGCCCCCTATGCTGCTCCCTACGTAGCTGCCCCCGCCCCAGTAGTCCCCGCTTTCGCCCGGTACGCTGCCGCTCCTTACTTCGCTCCCTCTGCTCCCTTTGTTGCACTTAAGTAAACTGTGATGATGACTGAATCTTAGCCCATTTTTTGTACTGAAGAATACATATCTATAACATACTCGTGTCTTTTTTTAATATTTATTGATTAACATGGCATGGCAAACGTATAAAAATTTTAGTGCTTACCTTGAAACTACACATATGTATTTGTCTAACTTAATTCTAGCTATGATGACTTGAAAAACTTTATATTATAGTTTTACAATTTAATTCTAAGAAGTGAGTAGTTTTCCACCAACGTACCTATTAATAGTCTAGCCACCTGCTCTCATATGGAATTTCATAACTTTGTGATAGACAAAGCATTCCTTACATTACAGAGTAACAACATTATTTTGATTATGATTGTCAACTCATTGTCAAAAATCTTGTCACCATCAAACCATATAAGCAGCTACTTACGCATGTTATTGTGCGTGATCAAAGTCGTGTGTTTAGTTTCAAGGAAGTTTTCCCACAGTCCTTGGCAGAAGTAATTTAGCTATGTACAAAACTCGGTACGAGTTACATAAAGAAGCCATAAACAAAAGGGAAATTTGTGGCCTATTTCTGTATAAAGCGATAATATTTTGATAAACATATCTAAGTACGTAATCACAAAAAAAATATTTGTTTGTAAGTATTCGCAGTATCGATTTCAGTTCCTTAAAAAGATTTCAATGGAATGGTAAGAAAATTATCATAATTTTAGGCTTTGAATAGAATAATAACCTAAACGACGGAATATCTTGAAGGTTTTCCTTTATAAGACTGTTGACGAGGAAGTCTAACTGCGCAGTACTTTAGTTTCTTATACACCCACACTGATGTCTGAACAACCTAAGTGATCCTTTCTTAGCAATTCAGATTCTGCGAACGTTTGTTCAAGAAAAAAGTACTTTTTATTGTGCAAGTGTAATATTTAAGTGT